TTCACTGCCACGGGCTCTTCCTCGACGTAACTTACACAATGTACATGTTGCGAATCTAGACGACGACACATAATGATGAAATAGACAGTATCCTGCATACCCGACCTTCTTGTATTCGGCGCTCCTGAATTTTACGAACCGATGATCACACGAAGCACAGAGAGAATCTTTTATAATGAAACTGAGCGACGCGCATTACGAATTTTCAGATTTATTTTCTATCCAGTTACGTACGTGATCTTTTCAGATTTTCTAAATGAATAAATTTAAACGGCAATGTTTATTATTTTTTAATACCTGCCGGATGTTATTATATCTAAGAGTATATTGATAAGTACCTAATCGATAAACTGTATTCTGATAGGCTGTATTCTGATATGTAACAAAGTTGTCTAGAAAATACATTCACCGCGATATTATTGAAATGTGAGCTCGCCGTGGTTCTGTTATTAAATGATCATTCTGCGATCTGCTTCCTCGAGCGAATGATTTTTCTATTTTGAATGAATTAAATGCGCACCATATCGTTTTTTTTTACACATATCACACACGGATGCCATATGTTAATAATACCTATATCACTTCTGACGAGGTTGCTGTTTGCGAAATGTAAAAAAAAACATATCTACGAAAAAACTATCATACTTTACCAATTCGATAAACATTGCGAACGAACGTAATGAATTGTTATTCACCATCGTTAGGTCACAAGATGATTGATTTCACCTGACAGAGTGTAAAACGCTCTCGAATATGTTTCCAAGCTCCGTCTGTAGTTTGTTGAAAGATTGTTGGTTTTGCGATTTCATACATTAAAATATAACGCATTAAAATTTAGAGGATTAGGCATATAAAAATAAAGTTATATACTACGTACAACATCAAACAGGTAACTACGTTACTTGTAATATATTGTAATATGACTGAAATGATATGGGACAAAATGCTTAAATAAAAATAATATGAATATACATCTTTCTTTTTTCTCCTCTAAATATCTATATACAACTGCTTTTTATAAGCACTCCATTGATTTAATGAACTTTGTATTTTATATTCACACGTTATTGGATTTTATTATAAATTGTAAAATAGGTAGGTATTCATAGATCGTCTCTTCAATGTAAATTAGATTGATTACACAACAAATCATTATATAAAAATTATCTGTTATATAAAAACATCTAAATTTTTAACTTATAATGTAGTTTTGATTTCAATTAGTACCTATTATCACATTGTTTGTACATATAATAAATGCCTGAAGCTAAAGTTTGTTGTGTCAATACAAGAAGGCTGTGAATTGAATATAGGTCAACACGAAAACAAAATTCTCGGTCAGAGCATCTCCACAAGGTGCAAGGACGTTACCTGAACTGGTATTCATTCGATCCGGTTTTAATCATCCTTCAAAGGAAATCGTAAGTGAACCGGCCGGTAAGTAAAAAAGCGCACGACGAATGCGGACTTGACTCAGTTCTAGCACACCGCACGCGACTAACAGTTTTATTCACTGGATCATTTAAGACAAAAATTTATCTCATTTTAAATTATTCTTACACATTTGTAAATAATAATTTTTGTGCAAAATTTTAGAAGTAATAGATAATATTGCGTATAAGCATAAAAAAATATTTCTAGCATAATAGTAATATATTATTCCTAAATATAATAAGTTTTATAAATTATTTTGAATTATTAAACATATATCTACCATTATAATAAATTAATTAATAAATTTTTTAGAAGAAAAATATTTGTAATATAATGTAATCTTTTAGAAACATGTACAAGATGAGTTTTAGCATTCTTAAATCGCATAAACTTTTCGATGGTTCGAATTTCATTAATGCTGTCAGCAGTTTCACGCAAGAATTATGAAATTCTAAAAATTTATTTGTGATTCTTGCATATAGCGTGGCAATACAATACTATTTTAATGCAAGGAGTAATTAACTATTTAGATAAATCGTTGGCCTATTTTCTCAATAATTACAATAACAGCATCAGATAATGTCTTAATAAATTTTTAATTTTATTATCTACACGACAAATGCACGCGTTGAATATTATTTTGCTTACATCTTCAATTCGACTGCAAAATTCTTTAAAAATTACTTCGAGCCTTTGCCCTTTCTTTGCGTGCGACTATCGCGAATCGCGTGAGCACGCGTGCGGAATGCTTGTAAATACTGCTCGTATGATTGCAAGAAATACTCAGAATCCCAATATTCTTACTATATACTTGCTCACTACTAATGTACGTGGCCGTGACCATGGTGCATTGCATCGCTTATACATTGTTTCAACAGCATAATGCACTGAGAGTGGAACTAATCTGCACATCTTGCTATTCATAAAAGAGATTTACGTGTCTCTTTGCACAATTGTCGAGATCTAAAAAAAAACTCGCAATGTTCTCTGCTATGAGTATTTTACGCGATATCTGATCGTGAAATTACACGTAAAACGTATTTTTTTTTATCCATTCTTTCATCACAGTACAGATCTCTTTTTATTATTATTTTAACAATTTTTTTTGTAAGAAGTAAATATATTAATAATTTTCTTATGAGCGCATTCACGAATAAATCAAATATTTTACTTTCGGCAGATCTGCAAAAACGGAATGCACTGTCGAAGCTGTATCTCGAGACATGTACGTATATCCGCTGAAGTTCCAATGCAGACGATTGAGTCATCGATACGTGACATACGTATCAATGCGCGTAAACAGAAATTTAGTGCATACTGTCCGAAGGCCGATCGTAATCGATTTCAAATATGGTATACGTTTATTCGAGCCGAACGAAGCATAATAGTTACATTCATATAATCAATGATCTATAAATACAGCATATAGATGATAACATTATATGCTCTTTTCTTTACAAAAAAAAAGTTAAATTTACATATTTATTCTTGTCAGCGAACATCCTATTACTATGATATTCATCAAAAATTATGAGAATAATATTTTAAAATTTAATTATTTATTAAAATATTTTAATATTTTAACTTACGAGAAATGTAAAAATATTTTAAAATTATAAAAATAATATTTTCAATATACGAGATTATACAATATTTATAAAGATACAGAAAGTTTTTTCTTAAATCTGTATAAAGTTAAGCTAACTCGTGAAATCTTCTAAAATTTCTTTTGTATCGTAGACCGCAATTAAGCAGCACATTTTGAATGAAATATGAGTAAAAGATGCAAACGTAAGGATATGTGATATCAAAAAGCCCAGATTTCTCTGGTTGGTTTTGCCACGTATACACAGGAGGAAGTTGTTATTAAGTAAATTCTTAGCATTCCTTTCGGTACAGCGTTGCTTTTCTCACGGAGCGCCGAACGTCCTTACAGCTAGTAGAAATGCAAATAGACCACAGCGCGGTCGTAAAATGCGCAGGAGTTAGCGAGTGTAACGTGCAACGTTTTGAGAAAAAACGAAAATGATAAGTACATCTTGTATTGAATTCCTAAATTTCCAAAGATCCAAACGATGTTAATTTATCCGAAAAATTCAATCTACAGATTAATTCCTAAAACCTGAAGTACATCGCAATATCGTTAAATCATTTATAACGTTAACTGCATCAACAAGAATACATTCGTTATATTTCCAGCATTATATACGAATATCTTTCATGTGATAAATATCCAAAATACTTTTTCGGATTAAAAAACAATTTTTTCAATATCTATTTTGCAATTTTTCGATTATAAATTGTAACGACATAGAAAATATTCTTGATGAGCGCGATTTATTTTTCTCTGTTATGACTTGCACCTGATATATAGCTTACTGAATTTATATAATGGTTATTTTTTATCATCCCATAATATGTATAAACTCAGCCTACATGAATTGCCGGCGTGATACCAGTTTCGTTTACAGAACGAGTTCCCATCGCGGAGCAGCAACAATAAGGACCGGGTGAAGGCATACGGAGAAACCTATATAGCTTGTATCCATCGAAAGTTCCATGACCCAGCGGGCACTTTTTTTGCTCCATGTAGGAAGCCTGCACGAGGCCTCAGAGAAGGTCGTTCGTTCTTCGGCGCGATCGTAGCCCGTAGCCGCATTCGAGGCTGAAGGAGACGCGCGCGAGAGTACAGCAAAATCGAGGCCGTCGAAATTCAAGTAAAAACCGCATTTCACGATTTCTTAATTTCATTTCTTGAAGTAAAATCAAGTGAGGTCTAATTTAAAAATAATACTTTGTCAAAGTGTTTAAATAATGTTAAAAAGATATACATTCATTGAAAAAGAAAAGATAGAATTAAAAATATTAAATTTATTATTTTCATGTAGAAAAACTTACGTTGTATTATTTAAATATTTTATCCTTTTTGATTTTATAATTTTTGCGGTGAATATTTTGCTTTTTGAATAATCCTAAATAAATTACAACAGCTATAAAATAAAATGTGGGTCAAAAATCAATCATAAGAATAAGAGGTTTTGAATTCCCAGACAGTTAATCCCTGGAATTCCGATCCTGACGTCATCTCCAGCTAAGGAAAGAAATGCGAAAGATGCTATGAATTTTTGAAGATGTATTTCTGAGCTGCGACGGGAACGCAAAGTTTCTTCCGTGTTGTTTAAAGTATTTATCTACGCGCCAATTATTCTGTGCATACTTTTTGAGAGTTTAAAACATTTTTAAAAAAGTATAAGAGTACAAAATTCCGGATGCTGAATAATATTCGAAACACATAAATTTGATGCACACTGCAGATGACATATTCCATCTTATTGTTAATTTGAAGATTCGCGCGAATTGATGGAAATGTCGCGAAACAGGAGACCCGCGCTCCCCTTCGCGCTCCAGGAATCCGCTCGTCGTCTGACGTCATCTCCGTCGGCGGGTTTGGAGAACGGAGGTCACGTGTCGCGGACGCTGAACGAAAGCTCAATACTTCGGCGCGGCCAATCGGTGGGCGCGTCGCAGAAACTCCGGCGCGCGGCGAAACGTGTTGCCGTCGCCGTCGTCTTGTCGCCGGTCTCCCGCCAGTCGAGTCGCGTCCGCCGAAGTGTGAACGTGGTTCCCTTTGTGTCCGGCCGATTAACCCCTCGGATTTTGCACCATTCCCGCGAGCGCGCGACCCTTCCTCGAGGCGGAAAAAAAAATGGCCTGTAACAGAGCTGCCAAATCCGGATTCGCCGCGGAGGCGCAGAGGAAGGTGAGGAACCCGTTGTCGAGCCTCCCCGTCCACGTATATACGCACGTACGATCGCTGGCATTCCTGCCACCCTGACCTAGTCAACAACCACCCTCCGCTTCTCCCCGCCTCCCCTCTCCTCCTCGTTTTAACGTGGAACTCGTGGACTCGACCTACTGAGGGGTGCATTTCCGCGCAGACGCCGTTCATGAACTGGTGAACGCGCATCTACGATCATGAATGGTATCGTCTGGCCGGGGTAGTTGGGTCAAATCGAGATAAATACGACGTTAGATCTTGTTGTTATCCTTCGACGAATTATCAGTACAAAAAATTGTTAAGAGTGACAACTACGTCTTCAGTGAATTAATATCGTTGTATTAATGATCGCTGATTACGTTGATTACGTTAAACCCTGACTGGATACGGTTGTTCTCATTGACCTATTTTGAGACAGCAGGGTGGGGTGAGAGTTCAGGGAGGATTTAGGGATAACAAAAGATAGTCGAAGCTGTGGAAAGCTATGGGATAGGAGATATCGAAGAATCATTCGCGTTGATTATTACTAATGTAAAAAAATATTATGCCAAACTGATGTCAGTTAAAATGTGGCTATGTTTTAAATTACGATGACTACTCTCTCTTTCTCTCTCTTTATATTATTCTATGATTTAATGACAAAATAACAATAATTTTAATATTTGGCTGATTTTAAGTAATTAAATTATTATGTTTATCAAAATAAAATTAAGCACTCGAAGATATTTTGTTGACAATGAGATATAAAATCTTATTTACGTTTTATGTATAATACTTTGTTTTATTTTTCATAACTGTTCGTTAATATATTATTTACCGCGGAGATCAATAGTGTCACATTGGTTTTTGTTGCCCAAACGTCATCGACAGGTTGTTTGTTTTTGGAGAGGCATAAAATTTGAATTATCGTGTGCAATTGTTAGAGTGCTTAATATTTACAAAGTTTTTATTGCAGAATTTATGAATGTTTTTTTTTTCCTTTTTATCGTAATTTATTTTTTCCGAACTCTTGTATATATTAAACAAAATTTTGTTCTTGTTGAATTTTCTAAAGTGAAAAATAGATATTCACAGGCGTTGGTTTCTCCAACAATGTAGGTCAACATGTGTTAAAAGATAGGAAATATTTTTTGCGTTATATCTTTGTTCCGTTTTGTGATTGTGATTTTCTTGTTGGACATATAGTTATTGTAAAAAAATTGTAGAGTGTTTACGTACCAATACAATGTGTGACAGTAAATAATAAAGTAGGCTATCGCTATTCGTATCCCGCTATTTATCCACATAGCTTGTGTTTACATTATCTAACTGCACACCAATAAATATACAGTCGCCAAGAAATTCGTATAATTCGAATAATAATTCGAATAATAACACACTATATAAACTATTTCAGATTTTATACAATTACCTTTTATTTCATATCGCGCTTAACACAATATTAATGATTCATTAGCTATTCTAATAATTTTTTTCGTCTCAATCGCGGATGTAGTTTCGACATACGCGTCGCGGTTTTCCGAACATCGTTACACAAATGAGTAATAGGAAACGCGCGCAACAGTTGGCAAAAATTCGCGACATAGTATCCAGCCCTGGCGAACCTTTGTGTTAAGCTCCAAGCGGGCGTGTCGTTTATCTCGCAGCTGTGTTTAAACGTGCGCTTTATACATTCGCCCGGTTTCACGATTCCGAGACGAAGCGATTCTCGCCAGTCATAAGTCACTTTACAACACACAAACCCGTGTAGGTACCTAAACCGTATCCATTCAAATGTCCAGTAAATGGGTCTCCATTCGAATGTTATATATCAGCATAAAGCGAAGCTTTTAGAAAAGCAATTGGCGATAAAGTCCTATCTGTAAGAAATCGTCGAGAATTAACTGACGTGCAACGTGTCGCAATTTCGAAAATTTATTATCCTGCCACGAAAAATAACTTATAACCTTTGCGATATAAACAATAATTTTGCGAATTTAGATAAGGTTCAGAAATCATAATCTTTTTAATGTATGTTACATAAAGTCACGTATATTTTTCTTTTATTGAACACGAAGATATCTCAGGTGCGAAACATGTTCGAAATATCTTACCATCAATTTCGCGGAAGCGTGATTATTATATAATCTGCTGAAGACGAGAAATCAACTTTCGAGGAAAACTATTGACCACTTTATTAAACATTCTTAAATGCAAAAACAGCTGATGTAAATTTTGTATTATGCATTCGCATAATGTGCACGTGGAATAAACACGATAAGTAATCGCATATGTGATTTCGATGCAAATGTCTTACGAAACTAAATTAAGATCAGGGCTATTGAAAATGACACGCACAATTCCAGAATTTGATTTTATTCAAAGGATCTACGAGTTTATTTTCTTGACATTTCTATTCCAAGAAATGATCTAAACTTTAATCGAAGGCTGCCGGATGTTCCTGCAATTCATGAGGACGTTGAATTTAATGACTATAAAAGTTGTTACATGTTTCCTCAGTACGAACAATGCAAACATATAGGAATATGTCATTGAGAAAACCTGAATTTGCACGCGCATATATTTCGAAAATGCGTATTCTTATCTCGTTCCGGTCACAAAATCGATTACCTTTTCTCACCTCAAATATCCCGCGGAGTTCAGCGATGCACATGCGTTTCGTAAGCGGCAACAGCTGCTAGGCGGTCGTTTCTTTCGAGGGGAATTAAAATGAGATCCAGTTGCCGAAGAAGGGAGCGTCCCTCGCGAAACCCGCTGGCCATGGTACACTTCTTCGGCCGTTCGTCCTGCGCCCCCTTCTCTTTCTTCGGCAGCTCTCTCAAACATTTTTTGTGCACAATATCGCATTCGAAATTGCGCTATTCTACAACGTGAGCCGATAGTTCTCGTCTTCCTTCGCGCGTGACTAATGTTCAACTGCCTTATCTCTCGAGAGATGTTGCAGAAAATTCGTGTGCTAATTTATAGCATTAATTTTATAGCGTTGCGAAGCGCAAAATTTATTCTGTAACTGATTCTCACGAAAAGCTGAAGAACCTTTAAATTAACAATTTAAATATTACGTCAATTTTTTACATGCATTTTTAAAAAAGATAATAATTACAAATATATATACAAAAATTGCATTAAATAATTAATTGTTTTGACTCAAGTTTAGATTTTAGCTTTAAGCTACTCACGTGTAGACTACTTTAAATATTTAATGGTAATAAAGAAGAATATATTTTATTCACGAAAAGAGAGTTTTTCCTTATCGGTAATTTCTTTAGCTTGGATTAGCTTTGAAAGTCTTGTTGAATATTATAAGCATTAGACTTAGAAGCACGTAAGAGCGTAATCTTTTCACGAGAAAAAACCACTTTGGCATTTAATAATCAATGTTTGCCCACAGGATGGAAATACACTGAATGTTACCGCATATATATGAGTAGAGAGTCAATTTTATCAGTCTTCCTGCAAGCTACGATTTCCTGAATCCTATTGTTAAATTGATAAACTCACAAATTTATCGCAATTATGTTATTTCTGTCTTGCGATTATAGTATCTCATTCTGGATATTAAAAATGACGAGATTACAAATAAATTAAATTGTTCGGATTACGTTCTAATTACATCGATTTCCTCGGTAAAACAATCGTACAATTTCCATAAAATATATATATTTTTTTGTAATAAGTAGCAATTTTTTTTATCTTGTAAAACGATTAATAATAATTGGTTAATTACAATCGTAAACAAATTGTTTTGCATTCTAATGGAGTGGGGGCGAGTTGTTGAAATGAAGTATATTTTACGATACGAAATACTTAAAGACACTCGTCGCAAAAGTTTGTGGAGAGGTTCACACTCATTACGAAGCAAGATATGCTTATCGTCTACGGAATGCAGTTCGAGCCAGCTCGTTATACTTCACCGGTACGAAATCATTTGTCTCAGAACGTCTCGCAACGTATGCATTAAGATTAACTGTGACGCTGCGTATTTTGAACTGCCAGTACGAGAGACGCGCAAGGAAAAAAAGAACTTTATCTCAGATTCGTCACGTATCTGTAATTGGTATTTCTGTCAAATCCATTAACATTTAAAAAAAATTGAATGAATATTGTAATCTCTTATTACAATTTTCTCCAGAGAAAAAGTCATTAATATAAGTAATTTATAAAAATTACGATTTATTATAATTTTTATACAAAAATTATTGTAAATAATAATACGACATCCGATGAATATGTGACAAGATAATAATTTCCCTGTCGTCCGAAGTACGTCGGAAGCAAAAATATTATTTGGATGAAAATTAGTAGAGCTAGTAATAGTAAAGAATATTATGCTATTATTAATAATAAGAAATATAGAAAATGTATCATGTAGAGTAAACGCGAACGTTGATTAGGAAATATACGTTATAATTAAATGCAAGCTAATTTAAAATATATGTTATGGTTCCAAGGTAACGTTGGATACGTAATTATCGCTATCAACGTTATAAATTAAAAGCCCTGAGCCATGACCACCTAATTGCTAGGGTTCAATGTGCCCGCCCGTTTGTATCAGCGAAGGCGGTGAAAGAAATACTTATACATATATGATAATTACTGACAAGTTCGTAATGTCGCGGGCGTTATACGATCTTGGACGAGTATTTTCCTTGAAAGAAACGATTGAATTAAAAAAATTTTCATTTATTGACACGAAGGCGAATTATCGCAGACGTAACACGGTCTTTGTCAGCACTCTCTGAATAGCGCAGCTAGTATTACCTACTATCGTGGTCGAGCGAAGCAAACACTTCAGCGCATTCTGCATTACAATTTTGCATCGCCGACATATACATACGTCTGTGGCTTTAACAGTATTGCACAGCAAATATATGGTGAAAAGCAGCTACAAATAGATATGAGTGAAAAATTAATCTTTTTTAATATATTATTTGTTCCAAATTTACTTTTTTCTATTTTTTTTATTTTTCACTTTATCATTA